CAATATTTTACTAACGCGTCTAATTGCTTTACTGGACTGCGCTAATTTGGATCTTGTAATAATGGAAAATTTTCAATGTCTAATTTGTATCAATGAGAGTAATTTAGTATTATAAAGACTGGATTTGTCTGGAATAATTAATGGATAATATATAATATTTATGAATTGGGAAAGATTGAGACATGTAGTATTAATGGTTATGAGACGATGGAGATATGTAATTGTTAGACTTTGAGATGGTGGGGAGATAATATAGTGGCGAAAAAATCTGCGGACCGGGTTTGCTTATGTATTGGTTATTTTTTGCTTTGTTTTATTTGCTTTTATTCAATTTGAAAGTATAATCATATAATTTAAATATATGAAAGTCAGTCAATAAGTTTTCGACCAAAGAAAAAAAAAAGGAAATAAAAATAGATGATTTTTTTTATGACGTTCATGAGTTTATGACTCATTGTAATGCAAAATTCTTTTTCATTCTTGAATAAATGTGACAAGGTCAATTCCAATGATCATGTTTCTATTTTTGAATTTTTTTTTTTTTTTTTTTTTTTTTAAAAAAAAGAGTCCAAATAAAATAATAAACACATGGTGAAACATACTCCCTAGTTACACCGTGAATTCCGAGGATTGATTGAGCGAATCACCCAAAAATTAAAAAGTCCCAAGAATCTTGTGAAAAAAAAAAAAAAATATTTAGAAAGTATACAATTGAATAACATTCGATTATATTTTTGACCTATTCTTAGAAGATTTACAAAATGATCATTGGGTCTTTGGTGTCACTCTCACCTATTATTAGTGATAATTGAAATTTTTTTTAGGTTAAATATAAATTCCTGCATGAATCGTTAATTAATCATGTGGACATGGACTCTCCAATTTCCGACATATTACTTACACAGTGTTTATGTCATTTGATTTTATGGTGTTGGTTGTAAGTTGCACTACACAAAGGACTTAAAATTATTACCTTTATCTCATACAAGCGAATACGAATTCCGTCTATTATTATTATTACCTGCCATATTTGCACGAGAAAATTATTTTGAATTTATAAGAAACGACGAAAACATTATGTCATTTCTCTTAGCTACATTTTGTTGCTAAATAAAATTGAATTTCATCATATAACTTCTCAAATTATTCCTCTTGAGGAAAATAAGTGAATATATTGAGTTATTGTGTGAATTTTGCTCCCTTATTCCATTATGATGTAACGTTGTGATATCACTTAATCCGATTCTTTCTCAATTCAACTTCATCCGTCGCTGGCAAGGATCCATTTCAAAGAATTCGCGAATATTAATCATAATTTACCTTTCGGATAAAGCGTTCAAGTGACTGATTTCTTTTAGGCATATTTCATCAATCTTTTGAAATGTTATACGAGTTTAGGTTAGGAGGTGAGAAATATTTTCCATTCAAAAAATTATTTAAAAAAAAAAAAAAAAAAATATATATATATATTTATAATAACCCTAATAAAAAAGGGAAAGGAAAAAAAAATTTTTTTTTTAACTTTATTACAATTATTTTTATTCTTCTTTATCATTATGAAAACTTTAATTTTAATAATAACTTTATTCGTATCAATTCAAATTACGCATATTGAAACCTATGCTCATACAATAAATCCAACAAAATTTAAAAATCATCGAAGGGGTAACATAATTTGGGATAGGGATGTGATCTTAGAACAAACCCCTGAAACAGATGAACCAAAATGCATAGAGAATGAAGTAACAACTTGTTCAAATACGCCCAAGAATGAAGCGCCCCAAGAAACACCTAAAGAACCACCTAAAGAAGATCCTAAAACGCCATTACCACCACCCAAAGAACCAAAAAATTATGAAGCACCACAACCTAAGGAAGTACCTAAAGAAGACGAACCATCACCGTCCTCACCACAAACGCCCATGGATGAACCAACATCAACACCTAACGAAGAACCTAAGAAGGATGAATCATCCAAAGGAGTGACGAAAAACAAGGCTCTTGATAATGATGAGACATCTAAAGGCAGTTCAGCGACATCCAATGAATCTCATGCAGAACACAAACTAGATAAATTAAAAAGTAGTGTTATAATTGGTTCAGTCATAGGAATAGTATCCGGAGTTATTATTTTTGTTACGTGTTTTGCAATTGCATACGTGAAACATAAAAATCAGGAACAAATGGTCCTTCTAACTCCAGAAAATAATGATAAGATTATGGATTTGAATAGGTCATTTGATAATGAAGAAGTTATGGTCAATAGATTATAAATGGAAATACTTTCAATTACCAATTACGCCAACCACCTTGACAAAACCTTAAAGTAATACATTCATTTAAGCATTCTAGAGAATTCATTTATTTAATCATGATTATGTAATTTTAAGTCGCTAAGACATGAAAATTTTTTAAGGTGGAACACAATTAGATTGTAAATTCTGTATTTTATATTTCATATAATAATTTATTTATTTATTATTTATGTTAACGCCGTTTTGCAATTTGACCAAAAAAAAAAGCGTCCCATTCGCGATTCATGTGAAATTTAGTAAAACGATGCAAGGTTAATAATGCATGCTACCTGCAATAATGATATAATCAAGCGTGTTGCAGTTGCACCAAAAAATAACAATCTTTTTTCCGAAAGAAGAAAACAAAAAATTAATCGCATCGCATGATTATCAACTGGTTTTTTTTTGAGTTTCTTGAGCCGAATTTTGGGATTATCACGTGATTTTAGTAAATTTTACATTTCAAATTTATTTACATTTTTAGAAAAATTAATAAAATCAATTATAAATCAACATTTGCATTCAAGATAATTGAGCCAATTAACTAAATATTTTTAATCCTTGAAACCCAACGGATAGCTGTTTATTAAATTAGTTTTAAGAGAGATTATGAAAGCAAGTAAATATTTCATTTAGGTTAAAGTTAATAATGCTTCAGTCACTTTTACAAAGAAATCAATCACTCCTTTAATTAGATACAATTATATTAAAGTATATGCAATTATTAACGAATTAGCATTTTAATTATGTTACAATTTAGATTAAATCATTCATTTCTTTAATTGCTTATTCCTTATATGATCCTAGTCATACAGAATAAAGAAAACAATAATATAAACAAATTAATGAAAATATAAATAAACCGCTTCTTTATATGACGTAATTCTTCGTTTTTTGTCAAACCCCATAAAGTTTAATTAAACATGAATTTCATTCGAGTTGTTGTTTCACGTATCAAATAATATAAAGTGAATGCCGTTATTAAAAATTAAATAATTTTCTGCAAGTAAAAGTACCGTAATTTTATGATGCATTAATAATAATTTCTAGCTTTGGAAATTTTTTTTCCGAACCTATGATAAATTTGTAATACAACCATCGAAATTAAAGTGCAGAATTGAAATGGCACA